TAGTTGCCCTCCCCTCTCCCACCCTCTCTCTTCCCCTCTCCCACCTCCTCCTTTTCCCAGTCTCCCCCAGTTTTGTTCAAAGACAGATTCCATTTTTGAACACAATTGTTCTTTATTTTGTACATCAAGAAGAGGGGCTAGGGAAGGGTAAGTGGAAGGAGGTGAGCGAGGAATGGGGTACGAGCCCCCGATGGGGGGGACTGGGCTGGCTCTGCGGGCTTCTGGGGGTGGAAGCTCTCCTGCAGCCCCCCGATTGCCCCCTCTCCCCAGCTGGCAGCCTGCGGCAAGTGCAGCCGGGCTGATGGCTGAGTGCTGTGATGTGCCCAGTGTGGGTACTCAGGGCACTCCAAGCCAGGACTGCTTTGCAAGCGGGGCACCCCTGAGAACTGTCTGTCCGGGGTGGGGGTCGGGACCCTTTAAGCGCAGCCCTCGGCTAGCCCGAGACAGCATCTCCACGCTCTAAGTCCTCCTCTGATGCCCTGCCGGCACTGCTTCTGGCCATCCTTAACTTCGGATCAGGGTCCACTAGACGCGTTAGTTCGAATTAGCTTAGTTTGAATTAATTAATTTACTAACTTAGGGTACGTCTACACTACAGCGCTAATTCGAACTACCTTAGTTCGAATTAGTTATCTCAACTATGATATATGAATTCATTGCCGTGCTACTCATGTGACTGGATGTTCCTTCCAAAACTTTCCGAAACCTGGTGTGACCTCACGTGTCTGTAGTTGGCTGATGTCATTATGGACAATAGTCCCCCTCACACTTGTTCCCTAGAATTAGGTGTTAAAATTGGGCCATTTGTCTGTGCCAAGGTTTATAGGCCTCAAGCATTATGCTAACTTCTGAAGTTAATGTCTTACAGGATACAGGCCTATAGGTTCCTTTCATTACTACTGAATATAATAAAGGCAGAATATAATGAAGGCATGGTAGTGAATATAAGAAAGGCAAGATAGCCCTATGGGCTACAAAATGTAAGTATCCTTAGTATTCTAAGATGACAGAATTCAAATAAATTCTTGCTCTGGTTTATATGCTTTTAGATGCTGTTTTTTTTATGAAGAAGAAATGTGTGAAAGGGCAGGAGCTGGTACTTACATATTGTAGGGGTAGGTTTTCAGATACTGACTAACACAGAGAGAATCTGTGTCATGAGAAGCTGTATCTGACAGCACTGGATCAGAAAGAACAGTTCCAGCTACTGATATTTAACTGTCACTTCTTGCAGCACTAAATGTTTATTGGAGGGTTCCCGTCCAAATACTGTCCACGTCTGACTCTTCTTAGCTTGTAAGATCTTAAGAGATAACAACACAAGTTGGTACTACTGCAAAAATTGCTGTACATCTGAAATAGATTATAGGCTCTATTGATTCATGATTTAACTTAGGGGTGGGCAATAAGCAGCCCACAGACCAGACGCAGTTCACCAGGATTAGTCCCCTGATGGTCCACTGGGTGCTTTTTTTACCTGTGCATCTGCAGGTATGGCCACTCAGAGCTCCTGTTGGCTGCAGCTTGCTGTTCTCAACCAATGGGAGCTGCAGGAAGTGGTAGCCCAGCCTGCGCAGCTTCCTGAAGCTCCCACAGTGCAGGAACGGTGAACCGTGGCAACCATGATCTGCGAGGGGCCATATCTGTGGACACGCAGGTAAATAAAGCATCTGGCGGCCCACAAGATGCTAACCCTGACAAACCACATCTGTCCCACGGGCCACTCATCGCCCACCTCTGGTTTAATTCCATCAGCGATGCCTTTGTTCCAGACTAAGACAACAATGTTGCCATTTTAAAATTGTTTTTTTTACTGACAACAGGAATAAGTTATTGCCTTTTAATCATTTTCAGACATGTATTGTTCTGTTATCATTTTTAGATGACCAACTAGACACTCGGCAGTTGCTGGCAATGGCTTCAAGACTGAGGGACAGTGCAGAATTATTCCAGTCAGATGAGATGCGTCCAGCTAATGACCCCAAGGAGAGAGCACCTATCCGAGTCAGAATGCTTAATGATGTTCTCCAAGGCCTGGAGAAAAACTTCATAGTTCCACAAGCTCCTCCAGGGTTTTACAGGTAGGATGTTCAGAATGTTCGTCATTCATTTATTCCAACTAAAATAATAATCTCACATTGCTTAGCTTTCAAAACTGTCGTGCCTCTTTTAAAAGTCTTAGTGCGAATTCAAGATAAAAGCTAAATTAAAAAAACATCCTTTCAGCAAAAAATTTAAATTCATATCTGTGCAGGAGGTGATTAGAGTGCATCTTTGTAACATTTCTGTCATGACATCACTGCTAACAAGATATTCCGTGCTATAGTAACTCAAGCAGCATGACAGATACTTATGTTAGATAGTACAGTGAGCTTTCAAAAGAAAAAATATTTTGAAATCTAATGGTATTTGACGTGTTCCTCAATGTTTTATTAAAAATGTTACAGTACTAAGAAAACTTAAACAACACTGAGTTACAGAAGATTCAGCATAGTGTTATATAAAACGTGCACTTGTGTGTTAATTTATCTTTCCCTGACTAGGTGCTTTCAATATGACAAAGAGAGCCCCATGGCCTGAATGGTAGGGTTTTAGCCATCCATCTTCTATAATTTTCCCCTCATAGAAATTAGAGCTTTGGGGGGCATTTAGTTCATCTTCCCTTTACCTAAATTGTTCCCTATTGAATATTCAAATACTTTGTCCAGACTATTTTTTAATGGCTCAAAAAGTCCACCTTTCATCTTCAGGAGAAGGAAGAATGAGCAAACCTTTCACACTTCAGCTTCCAGTGTTGACTTGGCAGTTGGAAAAATGTGTACTTCTTGTCAGATTTTGAAAAATATGCTTAGTTAAAGGTAACCATTTGATTGTTCCAATCAAACTGTTTTAAAGTAGTTCTAAGCAACTTTCCAAGCCCAAATGTTTAGGAGTAAAGTCCTCTCAGTATGATCATGTTTATTTTACAGAGGTTTTTTTTCCCCAAAATGGAATAGATAGGAAATGGTTTTCTTTTTCTATCTTCCTCTCTTTAGTTGCTCCAAGATGAGCATTGGTTTGTGTCCTCCAGGATTTGGAGGTGAGTTGAAAGCTTGGTACATAAGAAGATTGTTCCAAGCTTTCAGGCTGGTATAAAATCAGTGCAGCCATATAAGGAAAATAGATTGTGGGGAAGACTGAAATGCAAATGAATCAGTCATGTACCTATAATGAAAGGGGTATCAACATAAAAGTAAAATATGCAGTGAGAGTAATCAGTATCACTCTCACAGTACTTGAACTTAGAGCATGAAAGATGTTCACCAAAGAATGAATACTAGACCATATTCAGCAGTACTTGACTGCTCTTAGCTGCTCTGACATCTCAAAGCAGCCATACTGATTGGCTTTATAAATAACTTCAAATGGGTTGATGACTGCATTTGCCTTCCAAGAACACTCTGGTTCATCTGTCCCAATATAAATGTGTACATTTCATTAATTTTTAGAATAGGAAATGGATAGTGAAAACACCTCCATTGGGTCACACTGTGTTCTCTTGATTTTCATATTCTTGGAATGTTTATCATCTTGTCTTCCTTGATAAGATGGAATTGCTCTGTATGAAAGTAAAATGCCAATTTAAATTTTCACCATCCTCCAATCTACAGAAATTAGTAAGAGCTATGCCTACCTCTCTCCATAGAGAGCAATTCACGATAGCATGGAAATCACACATCATAGCAATGTGGGGCTTCCAGGGACCTCAAAAGCTCATCTAGTCCAGCCCACTGCATTGAGGCAGGAATAGATAAACTTCAACCTTTTTTACTGGTGTTCATCCAACTTGTTTTTTAAAAACACCTCTAATTACAGTGATTCATGACCTCCCTTGGAAGTCTGTAGCAGTTTATCTGTTTTTTTTCTAATATCTAACCTCAATCTCACTTGCTCCCGATTGAGTCTATTGCTTCTTGCCCTGCCTTCGGTGTAAATGGAGAACAGTTGAACACCATCTTCTTCATTACTGCTCTTAACCTATTTGAAGTCTTAGCAGGACCCCCTTTTCTTCTCCAAGTTAAACATGCTCAGTTTTTACCCTTTTTTCATAGGTCAGATTTTCTAAAGTTTCTATTATTTTTGTTGCTCTCCTCTGGACTCTCTCCAGTTCGTACACATCTTTCTGAAAGTATGGCATGTAGAACTGACAGTTCTCTGACTGAGGTACCTCTAGTTGGTGTTACTGTGGAACATAACTTCCCATATCTTATATAAGGTTCTTCTGTTAATACAATCCAGAAATATATTAAGTTTTTTGTAACTGCATTGTATTGTTGATTTTTTTCTATTTAATTTGTCACCCATTATAAATCCTATAAATCCTTTTCTTCAGTACTTGCTGGTTACTCTCTATTTTGTAGGTATTTTGGTTTTTTCTACCTAAGGCTATGTCTAGACTGCAAGCCTCTTTCGAAAGAGGCTCTTTCGAAAGATACTTTCAAAAGAGCCTCTTTCGAAAGAGAGCATCTAGACTGCACGTGGAACTTTCAAAAAAGCAAGCCGCTTTTTCAAAAGAAAGCACCCAGTGAGTCTGGATGCTCTCTTTCGAAGAAGCCCTATTTACATTCAAGAACGCCTTCTTTCGAAAGAGTACTTTCGAAAGAAGGCGTTCTTCCTCGTGAAATGAGGTTTACCGCCATCGAAAGAAAAGCCGCATTCTTTCGATTTAATTTCGAAAGAACGCGGCTGCAGTCTAGAGGCAGGTGAAGTTTTTTCGGAAAAAGGCTACTTTTTCCGAAAAAACTCCTGAGTCTGGACACAGCCTAAGTGTACTACTTTGTACTTGTCTCTGTTGAATTTCATCTTGTTGATAACAGAGTACTTCTCCAATTTGTCAAGGTTGTTTCAAATTCTAATCATGTCCCCAAATGCTTTCAGCACCTTCTAGTGTTTTGTCTTTGCAGATTTTACTACTCCATTATCCAGATCATTGATGGAAATATTGAATAATACTGGACTCAGCAAACTCTTAGACTATGATTGCAAACCAATTTTACATCCCCATTTTAGTAATTTTATCTAGAGTTGTTTTGCTTATGAGATTGTCATGTTGGACTATGTCAGAAGCCTTACTAAAATGAAAAATCTAAATTTTCCCTGTCTGTTTTCAGTATCTTAGATTTCTGATCACAGTACACTTTTGAAATCATGCTTTATTTTGTGGCAACACTTTTGATGTGGCTTCCATCTTTTAATGCTTTATCAGTGTGTTGCTTTGCTCTGAAGCATTATACCAACCATATACAGTAATTTAGTACAGAATTAGTCGTCACACCTTTTATAACGCTATGTATATCTACCCTTTAAAAGAGTGACTTTAGCCCCTCCCCCTTTTGTACAGAACTCTTTTAATTCACTCATTTGGGGATCTGAAGATTAGTGTATGGGGGAAGAGGGGAAAACCACTGGAAATTAAGCAAATGTGATCCAGGACCAATAATATGGAATCCTTACAATGACATTTGACAAAGACCCATATCAGAGTAGAAACCATTTTGAAGGAGGTGTCTTACATACTAAAGCCATGTCTATACTTATCTTTGGATTTCTACTCTGGAGGTTGATCTTCTGGCATTCAAGTTTACAGGTTTATTATAGACCTGTAAATCGAACATGGAGGGCAGCTCTGGTGGGAAGTGTAATTTCCAGCTCATCTAGGCATTCACTAGCGAGTTTTGATTGAGTTAGCAAGCTAAAAATAGCATGTAACTACAGTGGTGTAGGAGAGCCACCCATGTACAATCCTGTCTGATTTCATAGGGTATGTCTACACTACAGCACTAATTCGAACTAACTTAATTCGAATTAGTTAATTCGATCTAAGCTAATTTGAACTAGTGCATCTAGACCTAAAAACTAGTTTGAATTAGTGTTTTGCTAATTCGAACTAGCATGTCCACATTGAGTGGACCCTGAATCGAGGTTAAGGATGGCCGGAAGCAGTGCCGGCAGGGCATCAGATGAGGACTTAGAGCGTGGAGCTGCTGTCTCAGGCTAGCCAACGGCTGTGGTTAAAGGGACCCGACCCCCACCCCGGACAGACAGTTCTCAGGGGTTCCCCGCTCGCTTGTCTAACTCGATGAGGGACAGCAAAGCAGTCCTGGCTTGGAGTGCCCTGAGTGCCCACACTCGGCACATCACAGCACTCAGCCATCAGACCGGCTGCACTTGCCGCAGGCTGCCATCCGGGGGGTGGGTGTCAATCGGGAGGCTGCAGGAGAGCTTCCACCCCGAGGAGCCCGCAGAGCCACCCCAGTCCTCCCCATCGGGGTCTCATACCCCATTCCTCCCTCACCTCCTTCCACTTACCCCTCCCTAGCCCCCCTTCCTGATGTACAAAATAAAGGACACGTGTGTTCAAAAATAGAAACCCGCAGGCTGCCATCCGGGGGGTGGGTGTCAATCGGGAGGCTGCAGGAGAGCTTCCACCCCGAGGAGCCCGCAGAGCCACCCCAGTCCTCCCCATCGGGGTCTCATACCCCATTCCTCCCTCACCTCCTTCCACTTACCCCTCCCTAGCCCCCCTTCCTGATGTACAAAATAAAGGACACGTGTGTTCAAAAATAGAAACTCTCTTTATTGAACAAAACTGGGGGAGACTGGGAAAAGGAGGTGGGAGAGGGGAAGAGAGAGGGTGGGAGAGGGGAGGGCAACTAAAATGATCAGGGGTTTGGAACAGGTCCCATATGAAGAGAAGCTAAAGAGACTGGGACTTTTCAGCTTAGAAAAGAGGAGAC